TGTGGCTGGTAAAATATTTGAAAGGTTATTAAGGGATAATATTCAAGAATTCCTTGAGAAGAACATGGTTATCAGCAAAAATCAGCATGGTTTTATGAAGCACAGGTCATGTCAAACTAACTTGATTGCGTTCTACGAAGAAGTAAGTAGAAGTATAGATCAGGGTGTTGCCGTGGATGTGATCTATTTGGATTTTGCCAAGGCATTTGATACAGTTACACACAATAGATTAGTGTTCAAACTCAAGGAAATCGGTCTAGATGAAAATGCCTGTTCTTGGGTAGAACATTGGCTTAAAAACAGAGTACAAAGAGTTGTCATTAATGGTAAATTTCCAAGCTGGACAGAGGTGGCAATTGGTGTCCCTCAGGGGTCTGTTCTGGGACCCCTTCTATTTAACATGATCTTGAAGACCGCATTGAAAGTCATGTTTCAGTGTTTGCAGATGACACCAAACTTTGTAAAACAATACAATGTGAGCAAGATATTACTTTGCTGCAGAGGGATTTAGATAGACTGGGGGACTGGGCACTTAAATGGCAGATGAAATGTAATGTTGAAAAATGCAAAGTTATGCACTTCGGCGTAAAGAATACACAAGCAACGTATACCCTTAATGGAAGCGAATTAGGGATAACAACACATGAAAAGGACTTGGGAATTGTTATAGACAACAAACTATGCAACAATGTGCAATGTCAATCAGCAGTGGCCAAGGCCAGTAAGGTATTGTCATGCATGAAAAAGGGCATTCATTCTCGGGACAAGAATATAATTTTGCCTCTTTATAAATCACTGGTAAGACCCCATATTGAATATGCTGTGCAATTTTGGGCACCTGTTCTAAAGAAGGATATTATGGCACTAGAAAAAGTGCAGAGGCGGGCTACAAAATTAATAAAAGGAATGGAACATATCGGCTATGAAGAAAGGTTAACAAATTTAAACCTATTTAGTTTAGAAAAACGTCGCCTGAGAGGGGATATGATAACATTATACAAATATATTCGGGCCAATACAAACCATTGTGTGGAAATCTATTCACAAACCGGACTTTACATAGGACACGAGGACATGAGTTTAGACTGGAAGAAAGAAGATTTCGTCTAAGGCAAAGGAGAGGTTTTTTTACTGTAAGAACAATCAGGATGTGGAATTCTCTGCCTGAAGAAGTGGTTTTATCAGAGTCCATACAGATGTTCAAACGGCTATTAGATGCATACTTGCAAGAACAGAATATTCAAGGATATAATCTTTCAATGTAGGGTAATAACTGCTTGATCCAAGGATAAATCTGACTGCCATTCTGGGGTCAAGAAGGAATTTTTTTCCTAGCTTGTTGCAAAATTGTGCTTCAAACTGGGTTTTTTTGCCTTCTTTTGGATCAACAGCAAAAAACAAATGTGAGGTAGGCTGAACTTGATGGACGCAAGTCTCTTTTCAGCTATGTAACTATGTAACCCCAACTTTGCAGTTCGGGTTTGCTCACCTCTATTATGGATTCCTTGATCGCTACATGTATTACTTGGATAACTGGTAATTCTCTAGCTAATACATGCCGACGAGCGCTAGGGGATGGCCACTCCGCTTTTGCACCCTGCTCCCTCTTATGCTGTGCTGGTGCCTCTTTGCGACCTCTTCCTCCAAATTGCACACTTCACTCGCATGACATTGATTTCATGTGGGGTCTAGGACCTCATCATTCTCCACATCATCTTCCACCCACTCCTCAACCCTGCCCTCCTTGCCGGTATGCACACTGCAAAATTGGCACCTGTGTTTTTCCAGCATGTAAAATCTGCAAAGGACATATGGAAATTGTTTTAGAATTGTATTCAAGCAACAGTTTTCCCTATAAACCGACCTCTCAGTTTGACTTGTGAGGGTATTGCCCCAGAATTACAATATTGTTTAAGTACCTCTTAGCTATTGATAACTGGTTTAAATATAGCAGCTTGTTATCTGGTAGTTTCTAGTGTAGAAAATATAAATCTGTTTTCTATCACTTAGATCTGTGTAACAAGTGTTGTAGGTGTGAAACAATATTACAAGTGACCGATGTAGTAAATTTGAATCAAAATTACGCTTCGATTTGACTCTCAGATATGAAGTGAACACCCCAAATATACTATTTAGCACCCAAAATTTTTTTGACTTTTTAAAACTCCAATGTAAGCAGCAGATTAGCAGCAAAACAATTAGAATGTTTACAACTGCGCAGTATGTGCACTATTAGACGCTTCTATTTGACTCTCAGATATGAAGAGCAGGCCCCAAAATGTACTATTTAGCAGATTAGCACCCATAAAATTTTAATTTTTACAACTGCGCTGTAAGCACACTATTATACGCTTCGATTTGAGTCTTAGATATGAAGTGAACACCCCAAATATACTATTTAGCACCAAAAAAAAAATTTATTGATTTTTTAAAACTCCAATATAAGCAGCAGATTAGCAGCAAAACAATTAGAATGTTTACAACCTTCGCAGTAAGCACACTATTTGATGCTTCTATTTGACTCTCAGATATGAAGTGCACCACAGGCACCAAAATGTACTATTTAGCAGATTAGCACCCAGAAAATTAGAATTTTTATAACTGCGCTGTAAGCACACTATTAGACACTTCGATTTGACTCTCAGATATGAAGTGCACCCTACTAAAATACTATTTAGCAGTTTAGCACCCAAATAATTTTAAGTTTTAAAACTGCAATGTGACAGCAGTATTTGACGCTTTGTTTGACTCTCAGATATGAAGTGCACCCCATGAATGTACTATTTAGCACCAAAAAAAATTGACTTTTTAAAACTCTGATGTAACCGCGGTATTTTAAGCTCCTATTTGACTCTCAGATATGAAGTGCACCCCACCCCACTAATGTACTAGAATTCTTTCCTAAGCTGTCCCTATCAGTGGCAGCATCCTCTCCCTACACTAATAAGAGCTCATGTGCGTGCGACGCTACGCGACTCCAGCTTATATATAGAGGCTGGGTCACATGCTGCACTGGCCAATCACAGCCATGCCATTAGTAGGCATGGCTGTGATGGCTTCTGAGGGCACACGAGTCAAACGCTTGTTGATTGGCTGCCCTGCAGCCTTTCAAAACACTGCACACCGAACTCCAACCCGAACATACAGTGATATGTCCGTGTTCGGGTCCGGGGTCCAAAAAACGTAATGTTCGGTATGAACCCAAAACTTTACAGTCTGGGTTCGCTCAACTCTACTAACCGATCAAAATTACAGAACCCACCTAATGAGTGTGACAATTGAAAACCAGAGTCAAGAGGTACAACAAAAAAGGGGGTTCCAGGCTCGGCAACCTATAAAATATGTATATAAGGTATCAAACTTTAGACAGAAAATAGCGATAAAGTGCTGCTGAAATTTAACTTGTGAAAACACATTTATTTGATAAATTGTAATATGTGCAGTACTTCTTTATGACCTCTAATCAAACAAACAGCTCCAAAAAAGGAGCATAGAGTCACATAACAGCCGAAAGCTTCAGTAAAAGAAACACTATGACATACTTGTGAGAAACGCAACTATAGTTTGTGCGTGCGAACTAACTTCCGAACAGGTGAGTATAATCCCACGAAAGACAAGTATACGAACCGATAGAATATAGTGGGCAACTACCGTACCGTTTGTTCGTATGAAAGTTTAAACAAAAGATTTGTATGAAAGTATAGAGGTAAGTATGTGAAATAGAGTTGGCCCGTGATGACGCTGTACGCCTGCAATGGGGGTCAACTGTTACAATAGCTTCACGACCGTGCTGTAGTGACCGGAGGAGAGTGGAAAAATCCCGGCGGTTTTTAACGGTAGAAGAAACTTGATCCAGGAACGGGCAGGCACTCTGAAGGCAGGTAGATGGCGAAAATCCAGATATGCAAATCGCCAGGCAATCAAAGGTAAAGTGGAGGGGTATGGCGGTCCTTAAATATGGAAACCATGCCCCTCCCACAACTACAGGGCCAGTCTTCCATATATATATACATATAGTGGAAAATGTATTCTTACCATAATTTTCTTTTCCTGGCTATTATTCATGGCAGCTCCTCCCCTTACAGCCGATAGGACAGGAATAAAACCTTTAAAAGGTGTGTCCCTGCATAGGTCCCTCAGTCAGTAACAAGCTCCTACAGAAGAAGCAAAACCAACACTGGGTGGGTAGTGTATGCTGCTATGAATAGCCAGGATAAGAAAATTACGGTAAGTATGAATACATTTTCCACTTTACTGGCTAATCATGGCAGCATATACACATGGGAATACCCAAGCTTACCAGGGAGGGACAGAAACATACATAACGGGAAATCAAATAATCAGAACAATTCAACATAGATTAGAAGATTGAACTGAGTTAAGGACGTGACGTCCAAATTGTGCCTCATTGATTGCTTTCATGTCCAATATGTAATGCAGGACAAACTAGTTCAAAGAGGTCCAAATGCCAACTTTACAAAAGTTTCAGCAGAGACCATTGCCATGGAAGCCCACGATGCTGCAGTGCCCCAAAATCCTTTGGTACAGGTAGAGAATGGCATTGAAAAGCTTTCACTTTAGGCAAAATCGCTGGTGCTAAATAAAAGACAACCATATCCTGTTGAAATTCAGTGAATGGGTACACAGGATCAAGCCTGGAGTTCACACATTCACCTTGCTGAGGTACCAGCCACCAGCAACAGTACCGTCTGTACTAACATCATGGAAGCTCCTGCTAGAGGTTCAAATGATGCTTTAGTCAGAGCCTGTAAGGCCAGTGGTAGGTCACAAGTGGACTTCAACACCCACAGTGAAGGCTTGCATTTAATTACTGCTTACATGAAGCAAACACCAGAGGCTCCAATACTCAATGGGTATCCTGCAGTATAAGTAGAGAATGACATTCACCTTAGCAGGATTCTGATGATAAATGGAAGACAACCATATCCTGTTGAATATGAGTGACTGGAGGTACACAGAATCAAGCCTGGAGTTCACACATTCATCTTGCTGAGGTACCAGCCACCAGCAACAGCACTTTCTGTGCTGACACCATGGAAGCTCCTGCTAGAGGTTCGAATAGTGGTTTAGTCAGAGCCTGTAAGACCAGAGGTAGGTCACATATGGACTTCAACACCCTCAGTGCAGGCTTGAATTTAATTGCTTCTTACATGAAGCAAAGCACCAGGGGTTCCAATGCTCAATGGGTACCCATCCATGTGTAAAGTGCCAATCTGTGCTCCTCTAGAGTGTTATAATTCAGACCATATCAAGGCCTGATTGAGAAGTAATTCCAACCTCTATTCTTGAGACCAACAGACAAATGCATGCCAAGTTTGTAAATGTAAAGTATTTATAGGACTGTACATGACCGTCTCAGGGATGCCTATACTTCTAGAGACACCAGCCTCTACACCAGAGCTTGGTGTGTCAAGGGGCCCTGTAATAGGTCTGGACATACTGTAATATCCCTTGACAGTTCCAGATTCATCTTGCTCATCATAGGAGTTTAGAGTCTTCGTGGCCTTCCACTGTCTCCTTTGAATTTCCTTTAGGAACGTTGAGGACAGGAAAAATGTACATCAGACTGAAATTCCAAATTTGAGTGAGCGTTTTCTGACCTGATCCTAAAAATTAGAAAAAAAAAAATCTTCTGGATCTGGTAGTTCCGAGAAGTGGCCATTAGATCTACATAGGGTATCAGCCAAACCTGAGTCAACCCTGAGGATATGTTGGGACAAAGTTGCCATTTCACCTTGACCACTGTTACTTGGTTCAGGTAATCAGCCATTGTATTCTGCACCACTGGTTGTTCTCCTGTGCCCTGCTCATCATGGGCCCCGTAATTGCTTCATCAATAAGTGGCTGTGAGATCCACCTTGATGATTGATATAGGATACATTTGCATTGCTTATTGAGCAAATACAGACCCACTTGTTCTTCAGCAACCTTCCGAAGTGAAGAAGAGCCCTGAAAATGACATTCCATAACCTTGGATGGAAATATTGTTCCTTCCCTTATCCACAGACCTTGCGTAACATGGTCCATACAATGTGTATCCAATCCTTGAAAACTGGAATCTGAGCTTACAATTGCCCAATGAAGTTCTGTTCATAGGAAACCCAGAGACATATTCTCTCCTTCAGCTACCAAGGTGTAACTTCACTGATGGTGACATCGTCAGTGGCTGACTCCAATTCATCTTTCTCTTGTTGAACTGAGATAGGAAGGACCCTTGAGGAATCCTGAGATGCCATTGAGCCCATCTGACAAGTCTGATGGTGGAAGCCAGGATTCCTAGTAGTTGCATCTACTTCCCTGCTGTTACCAAGCAAAAATGAAGAAACTGGAAGAGAAAACTACCACCATCTGTGGAACTGTTCCTGGAATAGGGGGAAAAAAAAAAAAGTATAGAATACTCCACCCAGAAAAGTCATCCTCTGAGCTAGCGTGAGACTGTGTTTTTGGTATTCATCAAGCAGCCAAACCTCAGGGGTTCTGAAAGAACTCTCTCTGTGCACCTGCCTTCTGTGGGTCTAAGGCTACCAGTAGTAGATCATCCAGATAATGGAACCAGGTGGTGTTCTGGACTCAATATCACTATAAGCACACCTAAGGTTCTTGGGGCTTTGGTGAGGCCAAATGGTAGGGCACAAATTGGAAGTTCTCTTCTTAGATAATGCTGAAGATCTAGGCCGATTGGAATGATAGTAAGCATCCTTCCAAATTGCTGGGGATATGGATCTGATTTACTCCCTCCCTAAGGCTCTGTCATTCAGCCTATTGTTAGCCCATCTTAGGTCCAGTATAGACTTCCATGTGCCTTTACTTTTAGCATCAGAAGAGAGGCGAACATTGTCCCAGGAACCGCTCTTGTTAAGGGACCTAAGAAATCATATCTTGATCCAGCAGGTTTCATACATACTCCTTCAGTGCTATACCTTTGAGTCATCTGTCTGAATTCTCTTGTTGGTATAGAGACTCCTGTGTCTGAAGAAAAAACTCCAGTCTATATCCATCTGGACTATGGATACCACCCAAGTCTCCAAAATGTGACGAGCCCAGGTATGTCTGATCCGAGTACTGGAGGACAGACATAAGTTCATTGCTGAATAGCAAAATGACTGCTTCATAGCTCTATTAGAACCTTTAAAGGCAGGTTACCAACTGCCATGAGTTACCTCTGGAGTCTACCCTGAAGGGTCAGTAATTCCATGTAGCTCAAATACTGGTCACTGGAGGTTCTCCTGTCTGACCCTGAGGAGCCAGATTCTTGGATCTTCAGTCCTGAGGGACAAATACCTTGCAGCCCTCAGCTGCCTTTTAATGAATTCATCAAAAGCTTTTCCAAATGCTGTAGATAAAGCCATTTGTTCGAGAGAATATCTTAGTTACAGCTAAGGAAGCTTCAGTGGAGAAGTCACTTGTAACCTGAAGACTCCAGACTGCATTTTCAATCTTGGCTCTTAATTTATCTATCCACAGTAGCATTTAGATCTTTAAACACTCTTTTTGTGGTTCTAGAAACAGCAGTGAAAACTACAGCTGGATGACAACCTGCACCAGCAGGAGTATAAATTTGGACAGGTCTGTGTCCACTTTTGATCCATAGGCTTGCATAAAAGCCAAGTTGTCAAGCGGTAGCCTCATCCCACCTGTCATGTGGCTGCACCGGTATAGGTGATGCTGAAGCAGCTACCTTATGGACACAGTCAGAGCATAACTGTTTTCTTACACTGCTTTCTCATCAGAACCATACATGGTGTACATTCAGAAAATACCTTGCAACTTTCCTTTGTAAGCTATGGCAGCATGTCCCCTGGCTGTGCAGCTATAGGTGAAGCTGAAGAAGTTACCTTCTGAAGACAGGCAATGCCCAACAGTTTTCCTACCACTAAATTTCCATCACCATCAGAACATGGTGTAGATTCAGACATAAAATGAACAAAAAATTATTACATGTGGCGAAGTATAAAAGTACAAAAGGGCACGGTCAAATTCTATAACCATCAAAACAGTCAAACAGATTAAACTGGCTGAAACAGCACTTACCCCTGTCTGGAGAACTTGCAAATACTTTCAAAATAAGTTTGGGATGCATACAGTAAATTTCACTCCATTTTAGGTACTTACTGGCAATTGCCCTAATCCAAGATGGCTGCCGCAATATGTATTCCCATAATGCAAGTCATCAGTATTGGCTCTTTAAGGCACAAACTGCACATGCGCAGGCGTCTTCCAAGTACATTTGCTGGCTAGAGACCGTGGAGAGAGCTCGATCTGCAGCATACATAGCCCCTGAACACCCAGGGAACTGGGAATAAATCACCAGAACCGGGGAGGAAGCATAAAGTAAAAGTGCCTGCCAGATTATAAATAGGCAACAAGGTGCAAAAAATAACCAAAGTTAAAAGGTATCTTAGTAAAAAAGGCATCACAGCATAAGGCAGTAAAGGCACCACAGTTTAAATGCATCACATTTTAAATGCAATACAGCATAAGGCACAGCTGCATATTGCATCACATTTTAAATGCATTACAACATAAGGCACAGCTGCATATTGCTCCACAGTTTAAATGCATTACAACATAAGGCACAGCTGCATATTGCACCACAGTTTAAATGCATTACAGCATAAGGCACAGCTGCATATTGTACCACAGTTTAAATGCATCGCATTTTAAATGCATCACAGCGTAAGGCACAGCTGCATAATGCACCCCAGTTTAAAGGAATCAGAGTGTAAATGTATTATAGTATAAACACACCACAGTATACAGGCTCCATAGCAAAAACAAATAAAGTAATGATGAGAAAAAAAACTACTTGTCCATGAGTAAAGGGAACAAAAATGCTCTCATCCTAAGGGCTGCAGGACCTATGCAGGGACATGACTTTTAAAGGTTTGTTTTATTCCTGTCTTATCGGCTGTAAAGGGAGGAGCTAACCCATGTGTATATGCTGCCATGATTAGCCAGGAAATATATTATATATATTTATATTGTAACGGACTGTTTCAGCACACAAGGGGTAAAACCGTTTAGGCGATCGTCCCCTTCCAGAGATGCAGGCACAGCTACTGCAGAACACCAATCTGCCGAACAGGAAACCATACGAATGCTGTAAACAGCCGAATAGGGAAAACCATATGAATAGGTTTACACTCCTAGCAGTCGAACTGGAACAGCATACAATAAATCCCCCCAAGAACGAGACAAAGCTCCGTGTTGAGGGTCAAGCAGTGAACAGACAGAGCCGTGGGTTTATTGTGCTTATGTACACAGTCTTACACATTAGTACCACCCACAGGGTTTTGGAACACAACCAATAAACACATACAATACACTCAGACACTCCCACACAAATTCCTCCCCTCTGCATGTGATTCAATTACCTTACACAATGGGTAATGTAATTTAGCACAAGCAGAAAAATAAAAATTTTCCACATTATTCATAACTTGAAAAGTATGCGTCACATTAACATAAAACTTACATTTTCAGAATCAGCATACTCCAAATACATACGTCAAAATCATACAAATTGGTCCAGTGGTTCAAAAGATAGTTCGTAGTCCTTTGTGACCACAGGAAGCATGGCTTTTCTGCCCAAAACCAGTTCCACAGAGTCCACATAAGTAACCCAATAATCTCCAAAGACAGAGGCAAAACTCCATTGAACACATGGCAGCAAAAAGACTGTAAAATACAATAAAATACACAAAGTTACATTTATGACATAAAATACAGACATGCAACATATCCCCAGATAGCTCAGATCTGAGCGCACGTTATTACTGAATGGCGCTCAGAGCACACACATGCAGTTCAATTGCCATGGAGCCAAAGTCTTTCCCATAGTCTTTCATTATACGAATGGGCTCCATGGCATAGCTATCTGGGGTATCACTGCTCAAACAGGGCAAGCACCAAATGACCCGGCTTTCTTGTCTTTGCAGGGGAAAATCAGGCCTTTTAACATGGGGCCATAATCCAAAGGCAATAGGCTAGCAACCAGGCTTCTCCAATGCAATGTGGCGAGATTGGTCTCGTCACATATATATATATGTATATATATATATACGTAACGGCACCCCGGGAAGGTGAAGGGGTTAACGCCGCCAAAGCTGTTCTTTTTCCCGAATATGAAGTCGGCTACCAAACACTCGTAAGCGCCGAACAGGAATCATACGAATTATCCCCCAAGCACAAGACGAGGCTCTGTGTTGAGGGTCAAGCAGGATCTGTTTAATGGTGGCTACATGTCAGCCTTTTATGCAGGTCTTCCAGCAAGGGACACTCCCATAGGGACCTTGTGGAAGACT